ACGACCGACAAAAAAAAAAAAAAAAAAGAAATACTTTCTGGTACTCCCCCTCCATTTTTTAAGATTATATATATATATATTTTGGGGGGGGGAGTCTGGTCATGGGGCCTGAACTCTGGGCCTGGGCGCTGTCCCTCAGCTCTTCAGCTCAAGGCTAGCGCTCTACCACTTGAGCCACAGCTCCACTTCCGGCTTTTTTCTTTTTGCTTATGTGGTGCTGAGGAATTGAACTCAGGGCCTCAGGCATGCAAGGCAAGCGCTCTACCACTGAGCCACCTTCCCAGCCTTAAGATTATATTTTTAATCTTCAAATGGCTATTAACATGTCCATTGATGTGTCCAGTGCTTCTTAATCAGAATGACTGTTTCCATCGTTCCTCCCCAGAGTTAGATCGCATTTCAGCCTTGGTTTATGTGCTTCTCTGTTCTCAGCCGTGGCTGCCATACTACAGAACTGACCCAAACCTGCTTTTGCCAAAGTCTCCCCTCTAGTACTGCAGAACAAATCCCAAGTCACCACAGTCTTCCTCTCCAACACAAAGCACTTATACTGCTGAAGATTCTTTTGATTTGCTCTTTTTTTGGGGGGGGCAGTCCAATCGTGGGGCCTGAACTCTGGGCCTGGGCGCTGTCCCTCAGCTCTTCAGCTCAAGGCTAGCGCTCTACCACTTGAGCCATAGCACCACTTCCAGCTTTTTTTTTTTCCTGCTTATGTGGTGCTGAGGTATCGAACCCAGGGTCTCAGGCATGCAAGGCCAAGTGCTCTACCACTGAGCCACCTTCCCAGCCCCTCTTTTGGTTTACTCTTTCACTAAAGAGTAAATTCTAAATTACTCAACCTAGACCTTTGGGAGCTTCAGTTCAGCTATCCACTGGGCCAGGACTCATTGGCCGAAGAATAGATCTTACCCGGTCCTCACTGGGCCAGGATTTCTAACCCTCTGGCTGAAGAGTTTTGAACTCAGTCCTCCCTGGAACTGCTGGACTCCAGCAAATTTGGGTAGGCCAGCCCTGTGGAGTGCAAGCCTGTCTGGAGGCCACAACTAGTCCATGGCCGAAGGTGGGCCAGACCTATTGGGTATATCTGAGGGAGCATTTCCCAATGGGAGCTGCTTTAATGACTAGCCCTGGATATAGTCTGTGAAGTAAGGGTTCTAAACGCAAAATTCAGGCTGTTCTCCTAAGGTCTAAGACTTGCACTAACATCAAAGGTTCTGAGAAGTCAGGCATTAAAGCCTCTGAGATTTGATTTAACCCAACATATCCCAGACTAGACCTCATTTGATACTGTCCACTTTTCTCAAAATAAAAACAATGTTGTAATTGGGTTTTAAAGCTGTTGTCAGGCCGGGCGCTGGTGGCTCACACCTGTAATCCTAGCTACTCGGGGCTGAGATCTGAGGATCGCGGTTCAAAGCCAGACAGGTCATGAAAGTCCATGAGACTTTTTTTTTTGTTGTTGTTGGTCGTGGGGCTTAAACTCTGGGCCTGGGTGCTGTCCCTCAGCTCTTCAGCTCAAAGCGAGCGCTCTACCACTTGAGCTACAGCGCCACTTCCGGTTTTCTGGTGGTTTATTAGAGATAGGAGTCTCACGGTCTCTTCTGCCCGGGCTGGCTTTGAACCGTGATCCTCAGATCTCAGCCTCCTGAGTAGCTAGGATTACAGGCGTGAGCCACCAGCTCCCAGCTTCATGAGACTCTTATCTCCAAGTGGCACTGGGGCTCAAGTGGTAGAGCACTGGCCTTGAGCTGAAGAGCTGAGGCAGCGCCCAGGCCCTCTGTTTAAGTCCACAACGGGGAAGAAAAATAAAAGCTGTTGTCAGCCTGGCACTGGTACTAGCAGCTCACCCTGTAATCGTAGTTATGCCAGAAGTGGAGCATTAGGGGATCACAGTTCAAGGTCAGCCCAGGCAAAAAACATAAAGCTCCCATGTCAGTCAATAGCTGGACATAATGGCCCATGCTTGTCAGACTAGTTATGGGAAGTGTAAATTAAGTGGGTCTCTGTCTAGGCCAACCTCAAGCATTCTCTGCGAGATCCTACTCAAAAAACAGGCAAAAGGGGGTTGGGAGCATGGTTTAAGTGGTAGAGCGCCTGCCTAGCAAATGTAAGTCCATGATTTCAACCTTCAGTACCATAACAAAAAAAGAAGAAACTTCATTCAAGAGCTGGGGATTATAAATCAGTGGTAGAGTGCTACCTTGCCAGGGTACTAGGTTTGAACCTCTGCTTAGGGATGGGGGAAAAATCCAAAACTTACCAACCAAATACTGCTTTTAATTGATCTTTTATTCAATCGTCCATTTTTGTTTATCAAAAGTATGCTTAAGCCAGGCACCAGTGGCTCATACCTGTAATCCTAGTTACTCAGGAGATCTGAGGATCGCGGTTCAAAAGCCAGCCTGGGCAGGAAACTCCATGAGACTCATCTCCAGTAAACCACCAGAAAACGAAGTGGCACTGTGGCTCAAGTGGTAGAGCACTAACCTTCAGCTGAAGAGCTGAGGGACCATGCCCAGGCCCAGAGAAAAAAGTATGCTTAAAGCCAGGCACTGATTAGGCACACCTGTTATCCTAGCTGTTATCATAGCTAATTGAGAGGCTGAGATCTAAAGATCACAGTTCCAAGCCAGCCCTGGCAGGAAAGTATTTAAACTGGTAAATGGTGGATCATGCCTATAATACTAGCTGCTCAGGAAGCTGAAATCCAAGGTTTGAAGCCATATTGAACAAGAAGGTCCAGAAAGACTGTTTTCTCCAATTAATCACCAGAAGTCAGAAGTAGAGCTGTGTGGCTCAAGTGGTAGAGCACCAGCCTTGAGCAAAGAAGCTGTGTGAACTCAGGTCCTGGGTGCAAGCCCTAGGACTAGCACATAGGCCAAAAACATGATTGTTTATTGTGAAAATACCGTACAGAAGGGTTACAATTACATGGGCAAGATAATGAGTGTATTTCTTATCAAGCATTGTTGCCTCCTCCTTTGTTTCCCCTTCCCACCCTTCCCATCTCCCCCCACCCAAAAAAAAATGTTTAAAGATTGAGTGACAGCTCTTTCCTGTAATCCCACCCACTCACAAGGTAGAGATCAGAAGCGTCATGTTTTGAGGCTAACTTGGAAAAAAAAAAAAGATGTGGCGGTTCATGTGTGTTACCCAATGTACAGGAGGCATTAAAGAGGATTGAGGCCTAGACAAACATTTGAGACTCAGCTGCTCACACCTGTAATCCTACTCAGGAGGGTGAGTCAGAGGATCCTGCCTAGTAGGAAAATCCGTGAGACTCCAATACACCAGGAAATCAAAAGTGGTGCTGTGGCTCAAAGTGGTAGGAGGTTAGCTTTGAGTGAAAAAGCTCAGGAAGGGGCTGGGAAGGTGGCTCAGTGATAGAGTGCTTGGCTTGCATGCATGAGGCCCTGGGTTCGATTCCTCAGCACCACATAAGAAAAAGCCGGAAGTTGTGCTGTGGCTCAAGTGGTCAGGTGCTAACCCTGAGCTGAAGAGCTGAGGGACAGCGCCCAGGCCCAGAGTTCAGGCCCCACAACCGGACCCCCCAAAAAAAAAAGAAGGATTACTCACCTTCTGTGCCCTTTCTTTTAACCACTATGGTTAAAAATAAAGGTGCTTTTATTAGTTTCTTACAGATGATTGTACTGCTGTCATCTAGGTTAGGTGTGTGGGCTCTGAGGGGTGGGGGAGGGTGTTAATCTGACTTGCTGCTGTTGTAGCTCCCTCTGGTGGTGGCTCTGCAGCTTTGCGTCCTGAGTGACTGTTTTAATTGCTAGTGATTCTGTGCTGGACTCCTTCAGAGCACTTTCTTCCACATTCATTTGGTACCAGTCCAATTCTTAGTTGCTTAATTTTTTTTTTTTTTTTTGGTCTGTCATGGGGTTTGAACTCTGGGCCTGAGCACTGTCCCTGAGTTTTTCAGCTTAAGGCTAGCGTTGTACCTATTGCGTTCTACCACTTGTGCCACAGCGCCACTTCCAGTTTTCTGGTGGTTAATTGGAGATGAGTCTCACAGACTTTCCTGCCCCAGCTGGCTTTGAACCTCAATCCTCAGATCTCAGCCTCCTGAGTAGCTAGGATCACAGGTGTGAACCACCGGCATCCAGCTAAACTTACCATCTTAACCATTATTAATGACATAATGTAATATCAGTAAGTAAATGCATAGTTTGTGTCATCATTGCAACTTGATTGTTTGGGGGGGGGAGGGAACTAATGTTTGAACTCAGGGTTTGGGTGCTGTCCCTAAACTTTTTTTCTTCAAGGCCTAGTGCTCTACCACTTGAGCCACAGCTCCTCTTCCAGTTTTTTCTGGTAGTTAACTGGAGGTGAGTCTCACAGACATTCCTGCCCAGGCTGTCCTGGAACTTCAATCCTCAGAGCTCAGTCTCTTGAGTAGCTATGGATTATATGTGTGAGCCTGGCAATTTTTGAGACAGTTTCATGCCTTGGAGTCTACAGGAACTACAGATGTTCTCACCAGACCACCAGTGTGTGTGTGTGTGTGTGTGTGTGTGTGTGTGTGTTGTGAGGTTTGAACTCAGGCTGGGTACTGTTCATAAACGCTTTCGCTTAAGACAAGCATTCTACCATTTTGAGCCACAGCACCACTTCCAGTTTTCTGGTAGTTTATTGGAGGTAAGAGTCTCTCGGCGGGCTGGGAAGTTGGCTCAGTGGTAGAGCGCTTGCCTTGCATGCCTGAGGCCCTGGGTTCGATTCCTCAGCACCACATAAGCAAAAAGAAAAAAAGCCGGAAGTGGCGCTGTGGCTCCAGTGGTAGAGCGCTAGCCTTGAGCTGAAGAGCTAAGGGACAGCGTTCAGGCCCAGAGTTCAGGCCCCACAACCGGACCCAAAAAACAAAAAAGAGTCTCTCGGACTTCTCCTGCCTGCCTGGGATGGCTTTGAGATCCTCAGATCTCAAGCTCCTGGGTAGCTAGGATTACAGGCATGAGCCACCGGCATCAGGCTCTAGCCTTTTCTTTTCTTTTCTTTTTTTCAGTCATTGGGGCTTGAACTTGGGGCCTGGGCACTATCCCTGAGCCAGTCTCAGGCTGTTGGATTTCCCAGCCTCCAGCCTGTAAGTAAAATAAAGCCTTCCTTTCCTTTTCCTTTCCCTTTCCTTTCATTTTCCTTTCATTTTCCTCTTCTTTCTCTCTTTCTTTCTTTTTGCTGGTCCTGGGGCTTGAACTGTGGGCCTGGCAATGTCTCTGGGGCTCCTTTTGCTCAAGGCTAGCACTCAACACTTTGAGCCACAGCTCCACTTCCGGTTTTCTTTGGTAAATTGGAGATAAGAGTCTCTAGGACTTTCCTGTCCAGGCTAGCTATGAACCACAATCCTTAGGTCTCAGCCTCCTGATTAGTATTGCAGATGTGAGCTGTCAGTGCCCAGCTGCTTCCAGCCTCTGTGTGTGTGTGTGTGTGTGTGTGTGTGTGTGTGTGTGTGTGTGAGTGTGCACGCATGCATGCGTATGCACTACTCTTAAGGCTTGAGGCTTGAACTGTCCCTGAGCTTTTTTTTTTTTTTTTTTTTTTACTTAGGACTGTGCTCTACCACTTGAGGACTGCATCTGGCTTTTTTGGTGGTTGTTTTAGAACTAGATTTTTCTAACTAGAATAACTTGGAACTGAAATACTCTGGATCTCAGCCTCCTGAGTACGATTGGGTTACAGGTGTGAGGCACTCCCACCTTGCCAAAAGAACCAGTTTGTGTTCCCTGGTGAAACCTTTTTATATTTTTGTAGATTGCTCAGCACCTATTTTTCCTTTTTTTTTTTTTTAATTGCCAGTCCTGGGCTTGAACTCAGGGCCTGGGCACCATCCCTGAGTTTTTGCTCATGACTAGAACTCTACCACCTAAACCACAGCACTTCTGGTTTTTCTGTGTATGTTGTACTGAGGAATGGAACCCAGGGCTTCATGTATGCTAGGCAAGCACTCTACCACTAAGCCACATTCCCGGCCTGAAGCACCTATTTATTTATTATTTATTTATTTATTTATTACCACATTGCTGTTCCTGTCTGCAATGACTTTCTTGGTAAGCATGCCGCTTTCCTAGCTCATCTGAGCAATGCAATCCCTGATAAGTAAAAATCACCAGGAAACCTAGCACTGGTGGCTCATACCTGTAATCCTAGCTCCTCAGGAAGCTGAGAACTGAAGATCTTAGAGCCAGTTCTGACAGACAAATCCTCAGGACTTTTTTTTTTTTTTTGGTCCGGTCGTGAGGCCTGAACTCTGGGTCTGGGCACTGTCCCTCAGCTTTTCAGCTCAAGGCTAGCGCTCTACCACTTGAGCCACAGCACCACTTCAGGCTTTTTTTCTTTTTGCTTATGTGGTGCTGAGGAATCAAACCCAGGGCCTCAGGCATTGCAAGGCAAGTGCTCTACCACTGAGCCACCTTCCCAGCCCATCCTCAGAACTTTTATCTCCAATTAACCAGCCCCCCTCCCTCCCCGCAAACCCCATCCCCCTCCCCTCTCCCCCCCCCAGCCAAAACAACTGGAGGCATGGCTGAAGTATTAGAGCATCATGCCCTGAATTCAAGCCTCAGTCGGGGGGTGGGAGCGGCTTTGTTGAGATAAACTGCACATTAATCTATAGAGCTCACCTGAGAAAATCATACTATCCATTGATTTGTAGACTAGTTCACTCGGTCATATCCAGAACTTTTTTTTTTTTTGCCATCCATTTTCCAGCCTCTGGCAGCCACTAATACATTATTGATAGCCTTACCTATTCTGGATATTTCATGTAAATGTAGTCATAGGGCAGGTGGCTTTTATGCCTGTCTTTCTTCCTCTTCCTCTGCTCTTCCCTTCCCTGTTGCTTTCATTCTCACAGCTCCTCTTCATTTTCACCTACTGTATTGCCTGCCTCATCCTGAATCTGGCAGTTGTCTGGACCCACATTGTCCCAAACAATTCCTATCGGCCACTAGAACTAGTTAAATTTAGGTAAAATCAAAACTGTTTGAACCTCCGTTTCACTTACCAAATCTGATTCATTGCTATTCTATTGGACACTGCCAACATAGACCATTTCCATCATTTCACTGCAGTCAGTGGTATAAGGGCTGTGATTACAGGCACGTACCACTCCGCCCAGCTACCACCATCCATCACAGCCCCAGCACTAGTCCTCACAGCAGCCAGGAACATAGGAGAATAGAGACTGGGGCATGGAGAAGCTGAAGTTCTGGTCATGTGGTTAATAGAAGAGTTGGGTTTAACGTAGACCTGGAGCCAGACACCTATGGCTAGTGCCTGTAATCCTAGCTACTCTGGAGGACCTGAACAAAAGAGCTAAGGGACAGTGCCCAGGCCCTGAGTTCAAGCTCCAGTATTGACACTGGCACTAAGGAGTCATGGTGGGCCCTGGCATGCCCTGGCTTAAGCTCCAGCTTTAGAGTGAGCTTCAGGAAGCAGGCAACCGTCTTGGTCCTCACTGACCCCTAAGCTCCTCACAAGCTGTCAGGTAAGTATTCAAGAAACATTCAATGAGTGCTTAAGGCAAAACAACAGATCAGAGTTGCTTTTTGTTGTTCTTGGTCATGGAGCTTGAACTCTGTGCCTACATACTGTCCCTGAGCTCTTCAGCTCTAGACAAGTGCTCTATCACTTAAGCCACAGTGCCACTTCCAGTTTAGTTTTCTGGTGCTTAATTGGAGATAAGAGTCTCATGTACTTTCCTGCCCGAGCTGGAACCATGATTCTCAGCCTCCTGAGTAGCTAGGATTATAGGCATGAGCCACCAGTGCCAGGCAAAAGAGTTGCTTTGTCCAAGAGCATTCATGTGGCTTTTTCTTCCAGTTACATCCAAGTTTTGTAGTTTGATCTCTTGGTATGCTTTCATATACTTAAGAATAAAGAAAATGGCTAGGCACTAGTGGCTCACGCCCGTAATCCTAGCTACAGAGGAGGCTGAGATTTGAGGATCAAGGTTCGAAGTCAGCCTAAGCAGGAAAGTCTATGAGACTTTTTGTTTGGTTTTGGTCATGAGGCTTGAACTCAGGACCTGGGCACTGTCCCTGAGCTCTTGCACTCAAAACTAGTGCTGTACCACTTTGAGCCACAGCACCACTTCCAGTTTTGTGGTGGTTAATTGAAGACAAGAGTTTCAGGGGCTAGAAAGGTGGCTCAGTGGTAGAGCACTTGCCTTGCATGCATGAGGCCCTGGGTTCGATTCCTCAGCACCACATAAGCAAAAAGAAAGAAGTTGGAAGTGTTGATTCCTCAGCACCACATAAGAAAAAAGAAAAAGCTGGAATGGTGCTGTGGCTCAAGTGGTAGAGCGCTAGCCTTGAGCAGAAGAACTGAGGGACAGCGCCCAAGCCCAGAGTTCAGGCCCCATGCCTGGACCCAAAAAAATAATAATAAAATAAGTTTCAGACTTTCCTGCATGGGCTGGCTTTGAACTGTGATTCTCAGATCTCAGCCTCCTGAGTAGCTAGGATTACGAGTGTGAGCTACCAGCGCCTGGCTCATGAAATTCTTACCTCCAGTTAATCACGTGGGGGAGGGGGGAGAGGGAGAGGGAAGGAGAGGAGAGAATTGGAGCTATGGCTCAATTGGTAGAACACTAGCCTTGAGCAAAAGAGCTCAGGAGCAGCACCTGGGTCCTGAATTCAAAACCCAGGAAAAGAGGGAGGGAGAGTAACAATTTTGCACCAATTTAACAGATGAGCTGTGAGCCAGTACCTGAACTAGTAGACCTACTATAAACCATTAAACAGAAATGGCAACCAAGTCCCTCAGAGCCCCTTTCTAAGAATTCTGCTAATACAGCTTCTCAGCTGGGTGGGCCCTGCCTGCGTGGGGGTGTGAGAGGTGTTTACACCACTGCCACAGGACCCTGAGCACTTGGAGGTCCCTTGTGTAGTCAGGAAAGCCCCGACGGAAGGGAGCCTTCCACACTCCTTCAGCCTAAGAGTGCCACCAGTCTGCTTGTCCTGAAAGTATGGCTTGCCAAGTGTCTGAGATATGATGTGACTTTTGCAGTGTCACTTTGAAGAGTGTGTGTGTGTATGTTTTTGTGTGTGTGTGTGTGTGTGTGTGTGTGTGTGTGTGTGTGTATGTCGTTTTCTGTGCCAGGACTGGGGTTTGAACTGAAGATCTAGGTTCTGTCCCTTTGTTGTTTTTTTTTACTCCTCAAGGCTGATATCTACCACTTGAGCTGCAGCTCCACTTCTGGCACGCACGCGCACGTGTGGGGGGGGGTCGGTCGTGGGGTTTTAACTCTGGGCCCAGGCACTGTCCCTGAGCTCTTCAGCTCAAGGCTAGCTCTACCACTTGGAGCACTTTGAGCCATACTGCCACTTCTTTTTCTGCTTATGTGGTGCTGAGGAATCAAACCCAGGACCTCATGCATGCAAGGCAAGCACTCTACCACTGAGCCACCTTCCCAGCCCGACTTCCGGCTTTTAGATGGTTAATTGGAAATAAGAGACTCATGGAAAGCCTGAGCTTTGCTTTGAACTATGATCCTCTCAGCCTCCTGAGTACCTTACTCGGTGTGAGCTACCAGCGCCCAAATGAAGTGTCTTTCAAGTGTAAATATCTAGGTAGTTGCAGAAAAGGGTGTTGGGAAAAACTTGTTTGAAGTCTCTGTGTCTCTGTCTCTTGTCTTTGTCTCTGTCTCTCTGTCTCTGTCTCTCTCTTTCTCTCTCTCTTTGGTGTTAATACAGGGTCTTGTACTCAGAGCCTAGCAATCTCATTAGGCTTTTTTGCTCAAGCCTGACACTCTTTAGCCTCAGATTCTGACAGGTGGAAAGAAAAAAAAGAAAAGAAACCTAGGAGACTTGGGAAAAACTGGTCCCACACTGCCCTAGACAAAAGGCACTCATTAGGGTTGCTCACAATTGGAACTCAAAGTTAGAAGCAAGGAACTCTGCGCCCCCGCCCCATACACACATACACACACTTCTTCTTTTTTTTTTTTTTGCCAGTCATGGGGCCTAAACTCTGGGCCTGGGCACTGTCCCTCAGCTCTGCAGCTCAAGGCTAGTGCTCTACCACTTGAGCCACAGCACCACTTCTGGCTTTTTCTGCTTATGTGGTGCTGAGGAATCGAACCCAGGGCCTCATGCATGCAAGGCAAGCACTCTACCACTGAGCCACCTTCCCAGCCCCTACACACACTTCTTACAGCCCATTAATAACTAAAACAGATGGGCTGTTAGGCTTCCAGGATTTGTCTTGCATATACGAAAACATATACCTGAGCTGCTTTTGCTCAAGGCTAAAACTCTATCACTTGAGCCATAGCACCAGTTCTGCTTTTTCTGTTTATATGGTACTGACAATCGAATCCAGGGCTTCATGCAGGCTAGGCAAGCACTCTTTCACTGACCAACGTTCCTAGCCCCTATAATTTTTGTTAATAAAAATGAGACCAAGCCAGGCACTGGTGGCTCACATCTGTAATCCTAGCTACTGCTCAGGAGGCTGAGATCTAAGGATCAAGATTCAAAGACTCTTATTTACAATTAACCACCAGAAAATTGGAAGTGGGCTGTGGCTCAAGTGGTAGAGTGCTAGCCTTGAACTGAAGAGTTGAGGGACAGAGCCCAGGACCAGAGTTCAAGCCCCAAGACACCCCCCTACCCCCGCTACACACACACACACAAAAACTACATCAGGAGAACAAAATGCCCTGTAGCTTTTTTTGTATATGTTGTACTGAGGAATGGAAACTAGGACTTCATGCATGCTAGGCAAGTACTCTACCACTAAGCCACATTCGCAGTTCCCCCTCCCCCCCCCAGTTCTAGTTTTTGAGAGGTTGATTGGAGATAGGAGTCTCACAGGGACTTTTCTGCCAGGGCTGGCTTCAAACCGTGATTCTCAGATCTCAGCCTCCTGAGAAGCTAGGATTGCAGATGTAAGCCACCAGAGCCCGGCTTAGGTCATTTACTATAATAGCCAATAGACAAAGTTCAATCTTTTTTTTTTTCTTCTTCTTCTTTTTTTTTTTCACAAACCAAATTTTTATTCATCCGATGGGGCTGGCTTCTTCTTCTTTTTATACCAGTACTTTACTGGGGCTTGAACTTTGAGCTCTTACTCAGCTTTTTTTGTTGTTGTTGTTGGTTGTGGGGCCTGAACTCGGCCTAGGCACTGTCCCTGAGCTCTTCAGCTCAATGCTAGCACCCTACTGTTTGAGCCACAGCGCCACTTCTGCTTATGCGGTACTGAGGAATCAAACCCAGGGCCTCATGCAGCCCCTTACTCAGCTTTTTTTTTCTCAAAGCTGATACACAACCACTTGAGCCTCCTCTACTTCAGTTACCCCTCTCCCTGGCCCTGGTTAATTGGAGATGAGTTGAGGATTTTCTGCCTGGGCTGGCTTTGAACTGTGATCCTCAGATCTCAGCCTCCTGAGTAGTTAAGATTTTTTTCCCCAGGCCTCTAGAATAAGAATGTTGGAGACTGGGAAGGTGGCTCAGTGATAGAGTGCTTGCCTTGCATGCATGAGGTCCTGGGTTCGATTCCTCAGCACCACATAAGCAGAAAAAGCCGGAAGTGGCGCTGTGGCTCAAATGGTAGAGCGCTAGCCTTGAGCTGAAGAGCTGAGGGACAGTGCCCAGGCCCGGAGTTCAGGCCCCATGACCGACAAAAAAAAAAAAGAATGTTGGTAATGCTGTGGACCTGTATCCAGATAAGTGACCATTCTACCAGTGAATTGATCACAGATTCTGGGTTGGGGAAAAAGTGGGGTGTGATGGTCAAAGGGGGCTGAGCATTCACCCCACCTCCCTGATGCCCTGTGTGTCCAGTGTCATCCCTGCTACCCTCCCCCCCCCACTGTCAGCCCCTCCTAGCCTTAAGCCTGATCCCTCCCTGATGGTGGTTCCTTGCGAGGCTTTGGGGAGGTCCCAACCAGCCATAGGCACCAGAGTCAGTGTCAGAGGTACCAAAGAGAGTCCAAGAGGGTACCCAGGGGACAGGATGCCTGCATCCCTGGGAAGCTGCCTCCAAGCCTGAGGTGGGCGCGGCTGCAGCCCGCGTGACCTTGTCACTGACATTCCTCGCAGGCCACGTGGCCTCAACTGGCAGGGACAGCTGCAGACAGGGGCCTAACCAGCTTTGTTCCCAGGGTGGCGCCCGCTCTCCATCCAGGCCCCACTTAGCTCCGGGCTAGCACTGTTTCCTTTCCTGGGGCTCGGGGCAGCTTGATCTGTGAGTCCTGAACCATGACAGCCTAGAGGCACAGGGCCACCAGGTTCCCTCTTTGTGTGGTGCCAGGCTGCAGGAGGATGGGGCAGGACCAGACAAAGCAGCAGATCGAGAAGGGGCTGCAACTATATCAGTCCAACCAGACAGAGAAAGCGCTGCAGGTGTGGATGAAGGTGCTGGAGAAGAGCTCAGACCTGGTAGGGCGCTTCCGAGTGCTGGGCTGCCTGGTCACTGCCCACTCAGAGATGGGCCGCTACAAAGAGATGCTCAAGGTGGGCATACTTTCCCTGGGTGGGTGGGACTGGATCATAGTTGGGGCCAGGACTGGATGGTTTCCAGGCCCTGTTCAGCTTCCCCAGGCTCTTCTGTGTCTCAGAGATTCTGTGCTGGGGCTGGAGACTTTGTATTTGCAGGCTTGAGTCTTAGACAGGGAGTGGTGGCTTCAGATTTAGGCCTGTGGCCTTGAACTTCACTGTTGGAGCTTCTAAGCCTGCCCAGTGTCAGAGCCAGATGTCAGACTCCAGATTTCAGCTCTCTTCTTTTTCTTGGTGGGGCGGTGGGGGTGGGGGGCAGGGTGGGAAGGGGGAAAGGGAGGTGATTCTGTCTGTGAGCCTGTAGGTAGAGGTTCAGAGTACAGGCTAAAAGCTACTTGCTGGTCACTTCCTGGGGACAGTTTGCTGTGGTCCAGATTGACACGGCCCGGGAGCTGGAGGATGCCGACTTCCTCCTGGAAAGCTACCTGAACCTGGCACGCAGCAATGAGAAGCTGTGCGAATTTCACAAGACCATCTCCTACTGCAAGACCTGCCTTGGATTGCCTGGTACCAGGGCAGGTGCCCAGCTTGGAGGCCAGGTCAGCCTGAGCATGGGCAATGCCTTCCTGGGCCTCAGCCTCTTTCAGAAGGCCCTGGAAAGCTTTGAGAAGGCCTTGCGTTACGCCCACAACAATGATGACACCATGCTGGAGTGTCGTGTTTGCTGCAGCCTGGGCAGCTTCTACGCCCAAGTCAAGGTGGGCCTGGGCCCCAGGGGAAGAGGAGGGTGATGGGGGGGGGGTGTCTTCAGAGCTAAGGTTTGGGCTGAGACATTCTCATGAGCCACACTCTTTGTCATGCAGTCCCTTTCCCTCCTTCTGGAAGCAGTGTGGTGAGTCACAAGAAGAGGAGTCAGGAAGGGTAGAGCCAGAATTCAAATCTAGATCTGACCAACTTCACAGGGAAGTAGGTCAGGGAGTAGGTCCTATATGGGCATAGACCATAGGTCCACACTACCACGTGATCCTGGGCAAGTCTTCTCTCCTCTCTGAACCCTGAACTCTGGGAGGCGCGCGCACACACACACACACACACACACACACACACACACACACACACACACACACACACACACACACACACACACACACACACACACACACACACACACACACACACACTGAGGGAGAACAAGACTCAGAAGAGATGTAAGGATTCATTCATCAGATTTTTATTTTGCACCAGTACTGGAACATTAATTCTGCGCCTTGCATTCTTATTTGGCTCTCTTGCTCAAAACTGGTGCTCTACCACTTAAGCCACAGCCTCACTTTGCCTTTTTGCTGAGTAATTGGAGATGAAGAGTCTCAAGGATTTGTCTGCGTTGGTTGGCTTTCAACTGTAATCTTCAGATCACAGCCTCCTGAGTAGCTAGGATTACAGGCGTGAGCCACCCATGCCTGGCCAAGTTAGTTATTTCATTGCAAATCTAATGAAATGATGATTTTCAAGGTCTGCCATTTCTTCCTTCTTTTTTTGTCTCCTTTTTCTTTTCCTTTTCTTTCCCTTTTTCTTTTTTCTTCTTTTTTTGCCTGTTGTGAGGCTTGAACTCAGAGCCTGGGCACTGTCTCTGAGCTTCTTTTTGCTCAAGGCTAGCGCTCTACCACTTGAGCCACAGTGCCACTTCCAGCTTTTTGCTGTTTATGTGGTACTGAGGAATCAACCCTAGTGCTTCATGCATGCTAGGCAAGTACTCTACCACTAAGCCACATTCCCAGCCCCTTCTTCTCTTTTTTTGTCTTTTCTGTATCAGAACTAGAGCTTGACCTCAGGGCCTCTGTTTTTTCCTCAAGTCTGCAGCTCTACCTCTTGAACCACACCTCCACATCCAGATTTTTGGTGGTTAAGAGATGAGTCTCAGCCGGGCGCTGGTGGCTCACGCCTGTAATCCTAGCTACTCAGGAGGCTGAGATCTGAGGATCGCGGTTCAAAGCCAGCCTGGGCAGGAGAGACCATGAGACTCCTATCTCCAATAAACCACCAGAAAACCGGAAGTGGAGCTGTAGCTCAAGTGGTAGAGCACTCGCCTTGAGCTGAAGAGCTGAGGGACAGTGCCCAGGCCCAGAGTTCAAGTCCCACGACCGACAAAAAAAAAAAAAAAAAAAAGAGATGAGTCTCACAGGCTTTTCTTCCTGGCCTGACTTCAAACCATGATCCAACAGATCTTAACCTCCTGTGTAGCTAGGATTACAGGTATGAGCCACCAGAGCCCAGCTGAGCTAGATTTTTCTATAAGGAAGACCTTCTCCTTAACCCTTAGGGCCAAGCCAGGACTAGTAGCTCATGGTTCAGAGACAGCCAGGCAGGAAAGTCTGTGAGACTCTTAACCTCCAATTAACCATCAAAAAGCCAGAATTGGAGCTGTGAACTGTAGCTCAAGTGGTAGAGTACCAGCCTTGAACTTGCAATCCTCTGCTTCAGCCTCCTGAGTACCTGGGATGAACATGCCTCCACACTTAGTTCTTTCATAACTCCGTTTCCCTTTCTCTTAGATGAAAAATCTTGGCTTTTAAAAATTAATTCGGCCTGGGAATGTGGCTTAGTGGTAGAGTGCTTGCCTAGCATGCATGAAGCCCTGGGTTTGATTCCTCAGTACCACATAAACAGAAAAAAACCAGATGTGGCACTATGGCTCAAGTGGTAGAGCCCCAGGACTGGCAAAATAAATAAATAAATAAATATCAACTAATTAGCTGGATGGCGGTGGCTCAAACCTATAATCCTAACAATTCAAGAGGCTGAGATCTGAGGGTTTTGAAGCCAGCCCAACCAGGAGAGTCTGTCAGACTTATCTCCAATAAACTACTCAGAAAAAAAAAAAAAAAAAACAAACCAGAAATGGTACTGTGGCTCAAGTGGTAGAGTGGTAACTTTGAGCACAAAGAGACTCAGGGATAGGGATAGCGCCAGGCCCTGAGTTCAAGCCCAAGGACTGGCAAAACAATTAAAAAATAAATAAGGGGGGGCTGAGAAGGTGGCTCAGTGGTAGAGCACTTGCCTTGCATGCATGAGGCCCTGGGTTCGATTCCTCAGCACCACATAAGCAAAAAGAAAAAAGCCAAAAGTGGCACTGTGGCTCAAGTGGTAGAGTGCTAGCCGTGAGCTGAAGAACTGAGGGACAGCGCCCAGGCCCAGAGTTCAGACCCCACGACCGGACCCAAAAAAATAAAAAAATATATATATAATTTGCTTTAGCCTACAAAACACATGGAAGAGTTCAAAAAAAACAGTGTCAGTGTTAATCTGAAAAAGTAGTGAGAACTAAATGAAGTACATGGTTCCTTTGTGTGCTTTTTTTAATCATCATAATATGTCCTACTGTGGATGAATTGTCCATATTTTATTGTAAGGTCATTTAAAATGTGATTATGTGATACACAGTTAGAGTTCTTTATCCCCACTTTTACCCAGAAAATCTATTTGAGCTCCTGCATACTATCAAACAAACATGATGAAACCAAAAGAAAACTCTCACCAAGGGTCAAGTGCTGTGGCTTACACCTATAATCCTAGCTATTCAGGAAGCTGAGAAGAGCAGGCATGGTGATGCACACCTATAATCTCAGCAATTAAGATGCTAAAACAGGAAGATTATGAGCTCCAGAACAGCCTGGACAATAAGTAAGGTTCTGTTTTGAAAGGAAGAAAGGGAAAGAGAGGAAAAATAAAAAGAGAGGAGGGGAGGAAGGGAGAGAGAGAGAACACTAGAGTTAGAATTGAAGGAAAAATGAGGTGAAGAGAAGGTTTGAATTTTATTTGGGTTTTTATTTTTCCGAGGTGAGAAATGTCAGAATGTGTTAGGATGATTGAGGAGAAAGAAGGAACTCTCCTCAAGCCTGGGGCTTGATTGGACTGACATTTAACAGGAGCAGGGATGGGACAGGAGGGAAAGAGAGGTAACTAGGAAGGGAATGTGGGTCCCATGGTAGCTAGGAGAGGCCTGAGCTGCACGCCGGCAAAAGAGAGGCCTTTGGGGGCTCGAGGAGAAAATACATGACACACTCAAGGCCTCACTGAGCCTTCTGATGCTTTTTTGAGCTGACAGTGTGGAATGTGCCATTAAGCCCCCATGAACAGCTGCTGCTGGGCAGGGGGCTCTGATGTCCCCTCCCTGTGTGCCACTGAAGGACTGAGTGAGAACAGAAGCCAAGTGTTTTCTTGCTTTTGTATTCATTCATTGACACAAATATTTGTCTTGCATCTGTGAAGCTCAAGATGTGAGTTAGAGGGGGTGGAGCTGTGGCTTGAATGGTAGAGAGCCAGCTAAGTGAAAGCATAATGGGCATGATAAGACCCTGAATTTAAGCCCTGGTACTAGTACACACGCACACATACACAGGGCACACTGGTGGCTCACACCTGTAATCCTAGCTACTCAGAAGGCTGAAATCTGAGGATCACAGTTCAAAGGCAGCTCAGGCAGGAAAGTCTGTGAGACTCTTATCTCCATTTAACCAGCAAAAAGCTGGAAGTGGAGCTGGGCTCAAGTGATAGAGTGCCAGCCTTGATTGCATAAAAGCTAAAGGACAACACCCCAGCCCTGAGTTTAAGCCCCATATGTGTGTGTGTGTGTATATGTGTGTATATAGAACTAGCAAGATACATATCTATTTATTTATAGATGATAGATCTATATCTATCTGTCTGTCTCTGTGCTAGGTTCTTCATACTGGCAGTCCAAATACTAACTCAGCACTCTTCCAGCCACACCTCTGCATGGTTGTTCCCTTTACCTAGGCCTGCCCACCCCACCCCTGCCAGAGACCAGATGAATGAATGAACACTCCTCTCCCTTCCCCTCTTGCCAGCTGCCAGAGAAGCCCAGTCCTGGAACCCTTGGCTTAGGGCGGTTGCTGCCACTCAGCCCCTCCCGTCCTGTCTCCCTGCAGGACTACGAGAAAGCCCTGTTCTTCCCCTGCAAGGCGGCAGAGCTGGTCAACGACTATGGCAAAGGCTGGAGCCTCAAGTACCGGGCCATGAGCCAGTACCACATGGCCGTGGCCTACCGCCTGCTGGGCCACCTGGGAAGTGCCATGGAGTGTTGTGAGGTGGGACAGCCAGGAGACGGGCATCATCTTGGTGATAATGGTGGTATGGATCAGGGCATCAGGCCTAAATGCAGGGCCTCTGACACTAGCCCATAGAGGTCCCCAAGGCTAGCCGGTAGCCCAGCTTTCCAAGGGATGTATTTGTGTCCCCTCCCCCATACTGTCTAGACCTCACTTCCTCAGGGGAAGGGGTTTCCCTCTGTCCCCAATACCCTCTGGGGGGCACTTTAAAGAGCCAGTTTGTGGAGTCCCATTGGCTAAGTTCAAATCCTAGAATTGCCATTTACTTCCTGGGTGACCCAGATCGCCACAGTTGACAGCTGTCAGATGACAGTAGCCACCTCAGTGGGTATCGTGACCTCAGTGGTAGGGCACAGGTGTCTTAGGCTCTGTGGATACCACAACTCCTGAGCTTTGGGTACCTCATAAGTGACCAGCCTCCCTTGCAGGAGTCCATGAAGATTGCCCTTCAGCATGGAGACCGGCCTCTGCAGGCACTCTGCCTGCTCTGCTTTGCTGACATCCACCGGAGCCGAGGAGACCTGGAGGTGAGGTGGCCAGGATGAGGTAGGGTGGTTCCGGCCTGCCCCAGCCTCATTCCCCCTCCCACCTGGCTCTGCAGACAGCCTTCCCCAGGTATGACTCCGCCATGAGCATCATGACTGAAATCGGAAATCGCCTGGGCCAGGTGCAGGTGCTACTGGGTGTGACCAAGTGTTGGGTGGCCAGGAAGGCCTTGGACAAGGTAGGCTTATACCCTTTCCTATAGCCCCTGGCTCTCCTTAGTGCCCACTGCTGGGGGCTAGTGGTCAAAACTGTAGATGTGGTATTGGGCAGAGTCCTCTTTGCTCCTTTATCCAACATCAGCTTCACCGTGTTCCCAGGAGACATTGCTATTTCCCAAGCTCAGAGAAAACCCCTGGCTTGCCTAGGCCTAGCCTAGGGAAAGGCTAGGGCTGAGGCTTGAATAAGGGGCCCCTTGACTTACCAACTGTGATCTTACAGCACCCTGGGGGGACTGGTGAGTCCTGCCTATCTTGGGTCTTCATAAACCATGGTAGACCTGGGTCTACTGGTGGCTCACACCTGTAATCTTAGCTTATTTCCACTAAACTACCAAAAAAGACAGAAGTGAACTGTGGCTCAAGTGGAAGAGTGCTAGCTTTGAGCAAAAGCAGCTCAAGGACAGAGCCTAGGCCTTGAGTTAAGGGCATGTGCATGCACATGCATGCGTGTGCACGCACACACACACACACACACACACACACACACACACACAAATGGCAAAATCTAACTCAGCCACACAGCTCAACTGTGCTCTCTGTCCCTGCCATCTTTGCTTGCAAAGCAGTGGTCCCGCCCTGCCTCCCTCCCCTGCCTCCCTTTCTTTGCCCTGAGCCAAGCCTCCTGTCAGACATTTTGCCTATAGCCCTGGCCTCTGCTCATCTTCCAGGCTCTGGACACCATAGAGAGAGCCCAGGACTTGGCTGAAGAAGTGGGGAACAAGGTCAGACATGATTCTGTCTTTTGGGTCTGAGGTCAAGAGCCAAGCCCAGGGTGCAGGGTATGGGTTCTGGGGGAAGGTCTCTGGGCCTACCTATACTCTGAGCCCTTCCTGAATTTCTGGGAGCTGCCTGCAACCTCCTCAACCCCCAGAATCCCTTGATTTCTTCCAGAGCACTTATGGGGTGGAGCAGAAGTTTCCTAGCTTGGTGGATAACAGAATTTCTCAGTCTTTTTGCTGTTCATTAGAACTCCTAACAGTAGCTTCTATTTCTGGAGATCTGCACATGCACTAGTCTTCAAAGGTTCACAGTTCAAGTCTTCCCTGTGACCCCAGTTTATAGATGGGGAAAGTGAAGCTCAAAGAGGCACTCAGGGTCCCTCACTACTAACTGTCTACAGGCTGAAGTCCACATTCTTTCCAGAGTATATTTGGCCTCTCTATATGTAACTACCCACTCTGGACCTTAAAATGTTGAATACAGGCTTAGTGTTTCTCAAAGTCATCTAGAAGATGTGCATTTCTCTGGGACAAGGTACACAATCGAACTGAAATGCCAAAATATATTTGCTTTTGGCTGGATTATAGCCATTCAGGTTTATACAAGTACGGGGCTGGCCAGCAATGCTGATGAGCATGTTTGATTAAAAAAAAAAAGGAAGCAAATTCATTATTATAGAGACAGTGCAGCAAGTCTGGTTAATAAAAATCTTTCACAAAACATGGACAGGAAGGGGTGACATTGTCCAAAAATAAATGTATTCTTTATCTGACTTATGTAAGTGTAACCCCTCTGTATATCACTTTTATAATAATAATAAAAAGGAAAAAAATTAATAACAGCAACAACATAAAAAAAACATGGGCACTAGCTAGGGGTGGTGACATAGACCTGTAATCTCAGCTACTCAAGAGGTAGAGAAGGAGGAGACTCTCAATATCAAGACCAGTTAAGGCAAAGTTATCAGTCTGTCTCAGAAACAAAAATTTAAATCAAAGGCCTGGAAAGCATAACTCATGTGATAAAGCATTTGGCTAGTGTGTGCCAGGGCCTACATTTAATTGCTAATACCAGGAAGAAAAAATAAATGTTTTTGTGTGCTGTTTCTGGGGCTTGAACTCAGCAATCCCTGAGATTCTTTTACTTTCTTTTTTTCTTTCCTTTTTTTTTGTTGGTCATGGGCCTGAACTCCGGGGCTGGGCGCTGTCCCTCAGCTCTTCAGCTCAAGGCTAGCACTAGCCATTTGAGCTACAGTGCCATTTCTGGCTTTTTCTGCTTATGTGGTGCTGAGGAGTCGAACCCAGGGCTTCATGCATGCAAGGCAAGCGCTCTACCACTGAGCCACCTTTCCAGCCCTCTTTTTAATTTTTATTTGAAAATACTAAAAACACAGGGGTTAAGTTACATAAATCAAGTAAAGAGGACACTTCCTTTTGGACAATATCATCCCCTGGGATTCTTTTTTCTCAAGGCTAGGATTCTACCACTTGAGCCACAGCACCACTTCTAGCTTTTTCTGAGTAGTTTATTGGAGCTAAGAGTCTCAGGGACATTGGGGCATCGGTGGCTTATGCCTGTAATCGTAGCTACTCAGGAGGCTGAGATCTGAGGATGGCAGTTCAAAGTCAGCCTGGGCAGGAAAGTCCGTGAGACTTTTTATCTCCAATTAACTACCAGAAAACCAGAAGTGGTGCTGTGGCTCAAGTAGTAGAACACTAGCCTTGAGCTGAAGAGCTGAGGGACAGGGCCCGGGCCCAGAGTTCAAGACCCATGACAGACCAAAAAAAAAAGTCTGACTTTCCTGGTTGGGCTAACTTTGAACGGTGATCCTCAGTTCTCAGCTTCCTAAGTAGCTAAGAGCATGAGTCACTAGCATCCGGCTCAAGAAAATTAAAAAGGAAAAAGAAAACAAAAAACCATGTGGGTGTCTAGGCATCCTAAGGATGCGGGTCTTTGATCTAACTCACTCCAGGGAGGGAGTCAGAGAGGGTAGGAGATTTTTTCCTAGTTCCAACTTTCAGTATCAGAGCAGGGCAGTGACTGGAAGCAGACCTCCCTAGAACTGACCTTGGCCTCCCTCCCACCCCCTGCCCTCCTCCTCTCTCCGCCTCCAGCTGAGCCAACTCAAGCTGCACTGCCTGAGTGAGGGCATCTGCCGCAGCAAGGGGCTGCAGCGGGAGCTGCGCGCGCATGTGGTGCGCTTCCACGAGTGCGTGGAGGAGACGGAGCTCTACTGTGGCCTGTGCGGAGAATCCATCGGCGAGAGGAACAGCCGGCTGCAGGCCCTGCCCTGCTCCCACATTTTTCACCTCAGGTGAGGCCACCCGGAGTGATGGGCAGGGCCCCCACTTAAGATGGTTTATGCGCTTTCCACTGGTTAACAGCTCTAGTGAAAAGGGATCATCGTCACTCTCATTACCCCACAGGGAGTTCAGAGAGGTCCCTTGAAGGTCATCAGGTCAAACCAGCCTGGGCCAGGCCTGCCTCACAGGGTGGCACAGGGTGCCCAGGGCCATCCCAGGCTCTGCTCTTGGTTCTAGAAGCTCTTAGGACCGCCGGAGGGCCCAGGCAGAGCCGCAGGAGCCAGGGGCCAGGGCTGCCCCTGCACCTCGGGAATGGGGTGGGGTGGGGCGGGAGATGAGGGCCAGTTGGTGATCAGACTTGAGTCCTTTGGCTCTTCAGGTGTCTACAGAACAATGGCACTCGAAGCTGTCCCAATTGCCGCCGCTCCTCCATGAAGCCTGGGTTCGTGTGACTTCCAGCGGCAACCTTTCCAGCGGCTTCTGCCGCTCCTCCCTTCCATCCTCTTCCACCGTGGGTCTGGAGGTGCCTGTGCACTCCCGGGGTGGCAGCCAGGACCTCCTCCATCACAGCCAGAGCCTGCGCCCTGCTCTCTGCGCTGCCCTTCTCTGCCACTTTGTACTTCGCTCTTTATAGAAAAATAAAACTACACATGGTCCCAGTGATTCTGACCTTCCATGTTCCAGCAATAGGGATGAGGATAGTGTGGTGGAGGGGTGGAGGGTGGGGGAAGGCTGAGGCTCCCCATATGGGTTTCCCCAGACAGGAGCCTTCCTCCACCTGTGAGGACCCCTGGCTAGCCTTTACAGTGAACTGGAGGCAAGACCCCTATTGAGGGATAAGGCTACACAAGGGGATGACATCAGACAATCAGTACAGTAAGCTCTGCCTGTAATCCTAGCTACTCAGGAGGCTGAGACTTAAGAATTGTGGCTAGGGCTGGGAAGGTGGCTCAGTGGTAGAGCGCTGGCCTTGCATGCATGAGCCCCTGGGTTTGATTCCTCAGCACCACATAAGCAGAAAAAAGCAGGAAGTGGTGTTGTAGCTCAAGCGGTAGAGTGCTAGCCTTAAGCTGAAGAGCTGAGGGACAGTGCCCAGGTTGAGTTCAGGCCCCACGACTGACACACATACGCAAAAAAAAAGAATTGTGGTTCAAAGCCAGCTCAGACAGGAAACTCTATGAAACTCTACCCCCCAATTAACAACAACAGCAACAACAAAGCCCAGAAGTGGAACTGTAGCTCAAGTGGTAAAGAGCCAGCCTTGAGTGCAAAAATTCAGGGATAGTCCCCAGGCTCTGAATTCAAGTCCATGTACTGGTACATGTACACATGCATGTGCACACAAGCACAAACACACACACACACACACACACACACACACACACACAAAACAGCAACAAAAAACAATAAGCAAGTGATATGGAACAGATAGAAAATTGTTTTGGCTGAATCATGTATCCCTCCCTCCAAATTCATCTGTTGAAGTCTTAGCCTGTGTGATTACTGTCACAAAATGTCATAGGACTGGGTGCTGGTGGCTCATGCCTTAATCCTAGCTACTAAGAGGCTAAGATCTGAGGATCTAAGTTTGCAGCCAGCCAGGAGAAGTCCATGAGATTCTTCTCTCCAATTAACCACAAATCACAGAAGTGGCACTATGGCTCAAAGTGGTAGAACTCTAGTTTTGAGCAAAAAAACTCAGGGACAGCGTGCAAGCCCTGAATTCAAGCACCCCTTCCCTGCCCCCTCTCCCCCCCCCCCCCCCCGCACATACACCATAAGGTAGTATATTGAGTCAGAAATGCAATAGGAATTAACAGAAATGTTTCTTACCATTTTGGAGGCTGGGAAGCACCCCAGGGTAAGAGGCTGCAGATTTAGTATCTGCTGAGAGCCCACATTCTGGCTCATAGATGCTGCCTTGGGAGCTCTCTGGGGTTCCTTTATATTGTAAGGGCACCAATCCCATTCATGAGGGGCTCACAAGGCCTCATTCCTAACATCATATTGGGGATTAGATGTCAGTGTATGAATTTGGTGAGGGAGAGTGGTGTCATAATGTGGGATTGTGTCTGGAGATAGGACTTTGAAGGAGGTAATTAAGGCCAAGTGACATTGGGGCAGGACTTAGAACTGGGGTCCTGTGGGAAAAGGCTGACATGTTGAGGTGGCTTAAGCCTGTAGTCCTAGCTACTCTAGGGGGAGTAAGGACCATTATTTGAGGCCATCCTGCAGGGGGAAAAGAAGTTTTCGAGATGCTAAACTTCATCCCAACCAGTAACTGGGTGTGGTGGCAAGGGAGTATAAAATAGGAGGATCCAAGCCAAGCCAAGCCAATCAACATAAAATAAGATCCTATCTCAAAAATTAACAAACACTAAAAGGGTTGGCAGAGTACCGCAAGAGTACTGAGTTCAAACCCCAGAGAGGAAGAGAAGGAGGAGGAAGGGTAGGAAAGAGGAAGATGAAGAGAGGGGAAGGAGACAATGGAGACCCACAGTGTACAGAGAAGACTAAGATGGTGGCCATCTGCCAGCTAGTAAGAGAAGTTCCAGCAGAAACTAAATTTTCTAGCATCCTTCTGCGATGTCCAGCCTCTAGAACTGCAAGGAAACACATTTCTGTATTGAGCCACTCTGTCATATTCTGTTAGGGCAGCCTGAGCTGACTAGAAATGTAAAATTATTAAGTTTTTTTAAACACTAAAACAGAGGGTATACATCCTTCATCTTCATTATTTTTTCTTCCTTTTTATTTTTTTAAACTATCTTTAATTGTCCAAAGGACATTGTTTTTTTTTTTTTTTTGTCAGTTGTGGGGCTTGAACTCTGGGCCTGAGCACTGTCCCTCAGCTCTTCAGCTCAGGCTAGCGCTCTACCACTTGAGCCACAGCACAACTTCCAGTTTTCTGGTGGTTAATTGGAGATAAGAGTCTCATGGACTTTACTTGCCCGGACTGGCTTTGAACCATGATCCTCAGATCTCAGCCTTCTAAGTAGCTAAGATTACAGGCGTGAGCCATTGGCACCCAGCATAGAGGTGAAATATTATGAAGTCTGTAATTGCATTAGAAATGGTTCAGGAAAAAGGGTGTTTGCACTGAAAGCAAAAGTAAATTTGGTAAAGGGTTCTCAGTTTGCAAATCTAGGTGAAAGGTACAGAAGTTTGTATTGCTTATTCTTTGAAGTTTTTTTTTTTTTTGGTATGTTGAACATTTTTCAAAATAAAGGGCTTTCCAAAATAGTATATTTTAGGATGTTGTCCAGAAAAAGAACCAAATAGGGAGAGTGTGTATGAGAGACAGAGACAGAAATAGAGGCTGATTTGTTATAAGGAACAGGCTGCTCCCATGATCGTGGCTTAGTTCAAGTCAGAGCCAGCAGGCCTAAAAGCCATCAGAATTTATTGGGATTGTCTCCACTCCCCAAAGGCTTTCAGGTTCTAGACCCACTGAAGAGGACTGATGTGGTTTCAGCCCAAAGGCAGGAAACAAAAAACCTTTGTACTAGTTCAGAGACAGTCTGGCAGGAAGAACTCTTGTCTTTTTTTAATTTTTTTTTAGTGTTAGCAAGAATTTTAGAAGAAGTGTTAAAGTAGGGCAAAACAGAAAAAGAGGAAAATATTTCCTACTTATTTAGCCAGAAATGGGGAAATGGGCACTAGCCTTGAATGAAAAAGCTCAGGGACAGTACCCAGGTCTCCTGAGTTCAAGCCTCACAACTGACCAAAAAACAAACAAATTAAAAAGAATAGAATGAGCTTATCTCCCTGAAATTTCAGCTTCTACAATTTCAGTTCTTTTAATGCACTGAGGCCAAGTGAACTCTCTAACAGCCTCTTCTACCTGAAAGAAGCTACTGTCCTATCTGCTCATTGAGACTGAGCACCAGTCTACTCCAGTCAGTACTTACTATTAAGGAGAACTTAGGCAGATTTTATCCAGTACTAGTGCAATAGGGAAGAGACTTTAGTATAGAACTGAGTTCAGTGCAGAAGCCAGCTGAGTCAATAGCCAGTCAGCACAGTGAGGAGGGTCAAAGGCAGGGAGATTCTTGCTAATAGCAGACTGAAGATTTCTCATCTATGGAGGATGAGGGACTTGATATCAAGAATGATAAAGACATCAAGGGTAAGGATATTCTGCTGAAATGACTGAGCTGAATTTTTGCTAAAACTGGATTGAGCAGACTGACAATAGGGCTAAAGGACTAGAGCGAGGAGGCCTAGATGTAAGAAGGGCTCAGAAAAAACTGTAAAATTTGGTTACGGGAGGAATGAGCCCTATTGTCTACTCATGGTACAATGCTAGCCCAGGCAGGAAAGGCCGTGAGACTCTTATCTCCAATTAACCACCAGAAAACCGGAAGTGGTGCTGTGGCTCAAGTGGTAGAGTGTTCCTCTTTAGCTTCTTGCTCAGAGACAGCGTCGAGGCCCAGAGTTCAAGCCCCATGACAGACCAAAAAAAAGAGAGATACCATAGCTTATTTTTGGCCTTTTGCACACGGCTGGACATGTTTTTGATTGAAGCCATAGGAAAAATTCCCTAATTCCTAGCTGGGCCAGATCCTGAAGGGTGAAGGTCCAGCTTTGCCAGTGTCTTTTAAGCTACCAGCCAGGTTAAAACTACATTTCCCGACGGCCCCTGCGGCTCCCACCTTTCTCCCGCCTCTTCCTGTTTTTACAACAGACCACGCCTTCTCGCGCGCGCGAGCCTATAGCAGCCCTACCTCTCACCTTTCCCCACCCCTCTCACAAACAGGAGCCAACGGCGAGCCGTGGAGGCAGGGCTGAGGATCCGGATTTGGATTTTGGTGTGGAGAAGCAGATTCGCCACGGCTGCGCGGACGGAACTAATCTTATCGAGACACCGGGAGAAATTGGCCCCTAGTTAGGGGACTGCGTTAAGAAAGACGCCATTAATCGTCCCCTCCTCCTCCCGTGGCTCCTGTGCAGTCTCGTCTTCGGACTTTTCCTCCAGGAATTGAATCTGCTGTCGATACTCGGGAGTCCAGTGACTCGGCAGGAGAAGATGGCGACCGTGTGGGATGAGGCCGAGGTGGGTGCCGAAGGCTCGGGAGTCCCGGGGTGGGGGCCAGCAGGGGGAGGCCGATGGCCGGAGGGGAACAGGTGGCTGGGGAGGGTCAAGTTTCTGACCCAGATTTGGAGATGAAGCCTATTGGGATGTGGGCAGGAGTCCTGGCTTCCTATTGGAGTTGTGGGTGGGGAAACTGAGGTTGAGAGTGGACCCTGCTTGAACAGAAAGTACATACATCTAAAAGGATTTCTTTAAACAGCAAGATGGAATCGGGGAGGAGGTGCTCAAGATGTCCACGGAAGAGATCATCCAGCGCACACGACTGCTGGACAGCGAGATCAAGGTGGGCGCATGGCTCCCGGCTTGGGGCAGTGGAGACCGAAGGCAGGCCTTGGCGACTCCAGTCGCTTTTACTTTTCTACCTCCACTGGAGCTTGTGCAGCCTCCTGGGATCAGGATACGAGAAAGAAAAGGAAATTTTAAAAGGAACAAGAAGGGACAGGGTAGTTGGGGACCAGTTCTGAGATAATTATCAGACTACCTTTCCCAACGAAATCTTTTTTTTTTTTTTTTTTTTTTGTCGGTCGTGGGCCTTGAACTCGGCCTGGGAGCTGTCCCTCAGCTCTTC